GATAAAAACAGTTAAAGGGGCAAAAAAGCTCCTGGACTAGCCCCGAATTGAAACGGGAAAAGTTCCCTTGTTCCCCTCACAGGGTGTGCGATGGGGGTGTGGCTCACTTCTTCAGTGCCCCGCTGCTCAAACCTCTAGCGGAGGATGCGGATGGGCAGGCTGTGGGGCTCTGACCCCACCGCAGTGTCTAGGGGTGAATGTTGACAGCCGAAGCCCTAGTGGGTGTGTGTTACAGGGTGCTCTTTTAGCTTTGTGGTCTGTAGGCAGCTTGTGTTAGTCAGCTCATTTAGACTCCTGCCTTATTGAAAGGACAGAGGGCATTTTGTATCCCAGGATTATTGCCTTGGTGTACCGGAAGAACTGGATCACACATGGGCTTGGAGAATGACTGCAAGGTTTTATTGAGTGGAAGTAGCTCTCAGCAGATGGAGGAAGCCAGAAGGGAGATGGCTTTCCCCTGGAGTCAGGCTGCTCGGCAGCCCGGGCTCTCCTCCTACTGCCCCAGACAAACTCCGCCTCGTTCTGCAGGTTGGAGGCCTGCTGGAGTCCCAGTGCCTGTCGGTGTGTTCTGTCCAGCTGCCTGTGTGTTCCCGCGCTGATTTGCTCCTCTCAACGTCCAGCCAGCTGTGTGTCTGCCTGCTAGGGTCTTGGAGTTTTTATAGGCACAGGATGGGGGCGTGGCAGGCCAGGGTGGAAATGCACCATTTGGGCAGGAAAACAAAAATGCCTGTCCTCACCAAGGTCCATGGGCACAGGCCAGGAGGTGGAGCCCTAGCCAGGGACCACGCCTTCCTCTACCCAGCACTTCCATTCTCGGTTCCGTATCATTTAAGAGGATCATGCCCTTCCCCTCCCAGCACTTTCCTTCCCCTGTTCTGTATCATTATGCTACCAGTTTCAGTGAAGTATAGAAAACTTAACTCTCTTTACACTTCATCTTTCCCTATTTGTAAAATAATTACCTCATATAGTTCTCCTACATTTATTCAGAACATCAAGCAATATAATAATTTTTGCTTCAACTGTTAAACGTAATTTAGAACACAAGAGAAGGAAAGCCCATTGAATTAATCTATGTTTTTGCTTACTGTGTTCCTTTTTTATTTCCTGATATTCCAAGGTTCCTTCATTTTATCATTTCTTTTCTGTTTAGAGGGCTTCCTTTAGTTGCTGTTTTAGGTCTGCTGGCTGGGCACGGTGACTCATGCCTGTAATCCCAGCACTTTGGGAGGCTGAGGCAGGCAGATCACCTGAGGTCAGGAGTTCAAGACCAGCCTGACCATCATGGAGAAACCCCATCACTACTAAAAATACAAAATTAGTTGGGCGTGATGGCACATGCCTGTAGTCCCAGCTACTCTGGAGGCTGAGGCAGGAGAATTACTTGAACCTGGGAGGTGGAGGTTGCAGTGCGCCGAGATGGAGCCATTGCACTCCAGCCTGGGCAATAAGAGCGAAACTCTGTCTCAACAAACAAACAAACAAACAAACAAACCCGAGGTTTTCTTAGTTTTATTTTTTCTTAAAATACCTTTATTTCCTTTTCAAGCCCGAAAGATGATTTTGCCAGATATAGGGTATATATTGCTGGACAATAGGATTTGGAGGATGGTGAAAATACATTTCACCCAGCACTTGAAATATATTGTGCCATTTCCATCTGGCCTGCATGGTTTCTGATAAAAAACAAAACAAAACAAACAAACAAAAAACCTTGCTATAATTTGAATTGTTTCTCTACCATAGGTAAGGTGACATTTTCTTTGACTGCTTTCAATAATTTTCCTTTGTCTTTACTTTTCAGAAGTTTAATTATGGTGTGTCTTGGCATGAATTTCTTTTTTTTTTTTTTTTGATTTTCTCAGCTTCTTGAGTCTATAGGTTTATGTCTGCTGACAAATTTGACAAGTTTTCAGTCATTATTTCTCGGAGTGTTTTTTCACCCTTCCCACCTCTACTTGTGAGACTTTTTTTTTACAAATATTAGATCTGTTGTTATAGTTCCACAAGTCTCTAAGGCTCTGTTTATTTTTTTCAGTCTATTTTATTGAGTATATTTTTTGTAATTCAGTTTTATCATCTTATCAGAGAAACCTTTATTTATTTATTTGTTTGTTTATTTATTTATTTATTTTTGAGACAGAGTCTCACTCTGTCACCCAGGCTGGAGTGCAGTGGTGCGATCTCAGCTCACTGCAACCTCCGCCACCCAGGTTCAAGCAATTCTCCTGCTTCAGTCTCCCGAGTAGCTGGTACTACTTGGTGCATACTGCTATGCCCAGCTAATTTGTTTTATTTTAGTAGAGATGGGGTTTCACCATGTTGCCCATGCTGGTCTTGAGCTCCTGAGCTCAGGCAATCCGCCCGCCTTGGCCTCCCAAAGTGCTAGGATTACAGGCATGAGTCACTGCTCCAGGCTATTTTATTTTTTATTGGTTACTTTAGGATTTCTGATACCCTTACGTCACGATAGGTTACTTTTAAAGGCCATTACACCACTTAAAATACAGTATAAGAACCTAACAACAGTATACTTCCACTTTGTCCTTCTACTTTTTGTACCATTATTGTCACACATTTTACCTATGTTATAAATCCTATACTTGATCACTATTATTTTTGTTTAGTCAATTACTGCATAAAGATATTTAAACAATAAGAAAATACTCACATATCTACCTACATAGTTATTATTTCTGATGGTTTTCATTTCTTTGTGCAGATCCACATTTCCTTCTGATATCAGTTTCCTTCCACCTAAAGCCTGTCCTTGCATATTTCTTGTAGTGTGGATCTGCTACTCACAAATTATTTTAGCTTCTTTATGTCTAATAAGTCTTTATAGTGCCTTTGCTTTTGAAAGATATTTTTTCTAGGTACAGAATCTGGGTTCAACATTTTTTCTTTCAGTACTTTAATGATGTTGCTCCAGTCTTCTCACTTGCCTTGTTTCTAGAGAGAAATCTACTGTCATCCTTATCTTTGCTCCTTTGTACATAAAATAACTTTTTTTTTTTCTGACTGCTATTGATTTTTCTCTTTGTCACTGATTGTGAGCAGTTTGATTTTGATGTGACTTGCTGTCATTTAAAAAAATGTTTCTTACACTTGGGGTTCATTGAGCTTCTTGGATCTGTCAATGTATAGTTTTCATCAAATTTGGAAAATTGTCCGTTGTTCAGATATGTTTTTCTGTTTCTTTTCCCAGAGACACCAATTACACATACATTAGGGTATTGGAAGTTGTCTCACAGCTTACTGATGCTCTGTACATTAAAACAGTTACCTTTTCTTTCTGTGTTTCATTTTGGTTTGTTTTTATTGCTATGGCTTCAAGTTCTCTAATCTTCTCTTTTGCAATGTCTAATCTGCCATCAATCGTATTTTGTGTATGTTTCAATGTACTTACTGAAATTTTTAAATCTACTACTTCAATTTAAATCTTTTATTTTGGAACTTCTACATCTCTGTTTAGTTTTTCAACATATAAAAGACAGTGATAATAACTGGCTTAATATTGTATGCTAATTCTGATATCCGTGTTAGTTCTGAGTTGACTGTAGTGGATTGCTTTTGCTCCTCCTTATGGGTTGTGTTTTCCTGATCTTTTGCATTCAGAGTTTTATTGGATTCCAGGTTAAGAATTTTTCCTGTTGACTATTGGATATTTTTGTATCTATTCCTAGTTACTTCATCTTGGCTAGAAGAGGAGGTCCCACTTTATCCTTTGAGATGCCACCAGCAGTTGGGCCTTCAGGAGGGGCAGAGCTGGGCATTAGGCATCTTCTCAGGTTACAGTAGGGGAGTGTGTTGGGCTGGTCCTCTGAGGATGCTCAGGGTTTATTCTGCAGTGCTGCAAGATGGCTTGCTCCCTCCCAGAATTCTCTCTCTGTCACACTCCATTGTCAGGACCATATTTTCTATGGCATAATGGCATCTTGTTTGGGGGATAAGGAAAGCAAAGAAACTTGAACTGATCTGCTCTATTTGCCTTAATTAATGACAGAGGCAAGAACCATTATTTTCTTCTTTACCAAATGTATTTTGCTCTCTTCTTTCTTCATTCTTTTGTCCTTTTATAATGTTTATGCACTGATAATTGCATAATAAATAAGATAGGTAAATTTTTATAATCTCCTGCAGCTTATTTTGTAGTGAAGTCTGAATAGATGTCCACGTTCTAATCCCCAGAACCTATTAATTTGCTACCTCACATGGCCAAAGGGACTTTATAGATGCAATTGAGTATTGTGAGATGGTGACATTATTCTCGATTGTCCAGGTGGGCCCAGTGTAATCACAAGGGTACTTATAAGAGGGAGGCCAGAAGCAGAGGTAGAGGTGATGCAACAATGGAAGCAAGGGGCAGAGTTGGTTGGGGGGGGTGGCGGTTTAAAGATGCTGTACTGTTGGCTTGACGATAGAGGATGGGACCATGAGCCAAGGAATGTAGGCAGCATCTAGAAGGTGGAAAAGGCAAGGAAACAAATATTCCCTAGCACTCCCGGAAGGATTATAGGCCTTGATTTTGGCACAACAAAATTGGTTTCAGACTTCTGATCTTCAAGACCCCAATGTAATACATTTATGTTGTTTTAAACCACTAAGTTTATGGTAATTTGTTATAGCAACAATAGAAAACCAATATGGAGTCAAATATTAAACAAATAACTAATAAATTACAGGTAGTGCGTATTGCTGCAGAGAAAATCAATAGAGTATGAATGATGCAGTCATTGAGAATAATGGGTGTATCTGACAGTGCTGAGGGGACCCAGTTTGGATTGAGTGGTCAGGAAAGGACTTTCTGCAGAGGTGACTAATCTGTGTCCTGAAGGATGAAAGAAGCCAGGTATGTTAAGCTCCCTTCTCTTTCTTTTCTGGTCCAGTTCAAACTCCCTACTTTCATTCTTGCCAAAAACACTAGAATAAGAGATAATACAATTACAGTTTGCTTTTAACCTAGAGATTAACAGAAAAAAAGTGAATTTAATTTTCAGGAGGAAGTGTTCCAGTTCAGAAGGACTTTCTGGCTGAAGCTGATCGAACAAACGCCCTGATATTCTTTGTACACCAGCATCACTCACCCTTGAACTTGGAAGACAGCTCACAGGGCAGTCAGTACAGCCTTGCAGCTTGCAGAGAAGAAGGAATCTTGGTAAGAAAATTAACTTGTCCACAGTTGCTCAGCTAGTTATCAGCAGAACAGGGCCTGGAGCTTAGAGCTGGTATCCCAGTTCTGTGCTTTCCTCTTTGCAAAACCAATATTAGTTTCAAATTGTTGGGTTGGGCTCCTGAAACCAATCATCTGACCAAGTCCTCCAAATGGCTTTGGGCATAAACAGCTTCATGGAGAAGGGAGAGAGGCAGGCCTGAGCTCAGAACTTTTGTAGAACCCAGGAGAAGGAGCTCAGGGCTGATAGCAAGGCTATCTGACAAGTGAGATGTTTGGTGAGTGCCTGAGCACCAATGCCACAATCCCACAGAAGGGGTAGAGCTGCTTCTACTGGCTCCAGGCCAGAAAGGCTGACGATGACAGCAACGGTCCAGCCAAGATGGCCCATCACTGCCTTCCTGTAGCCACCTCCTGTCCTATGACTACAGATCAGTCAGTGAGTGGAAATGACCATTGAGAAGGAGAACTGGGTCAGGACTTCCAGTGCCTCTCCTGCCACCACCAGTGTCAACATGGAATGAGTGCCCTGAGCTGTTCTAAGAATGCAAACCCACTTCCATGAAGGTGACAGATATCCATTGAACTTTGTCCTGTACACAAGTATGCTAGGTCTAGCAGGTGGGAAAGGGAATGGGGTGGCAAAGGGATGAAAAGGAGGGTGGGATGTGGTAAGTACCAGGGCTTATGAGTTTTCTGCTGCCCTTTAGACCATAGGGGCTGTGTGGATTCTCAGAGAATGCTGGTTAGGGAAATTCACTAATTTAGTCACTGGATGCTTATCAATTGGCTTTGGTACCTGGGACTATGCTACACACATTCATAAACCTTAGCTTACTTAATATCTGTAACATTTCCTGCCAGATTTGTCCTTCTTGTCTATATCCTACACATGAGGCAACTGCAGTCTGGTGTGACTTGCTCAAGATAGTGAGATGCAGGTCTAGGTCCTCTGTAATCATTGCTACTCGCACAGAATAAGTGAGCGAATGAGTGAAGGAATGAATGGGAGACAGATATCCATGACAGCTAGCTTAGTGTCCAAATGAGCAGTGAGGGCTGAGGAAGGAAAGATGCCCATGGACGGGGTTGTCAGGAGAGCGTTGGCAGGGAAGAGAGTGATCGGCCCCTGCTCGTGCCAGGCTGATAATCTACTTGGCGAGAGAAGACATCCATGAAAAATGATGGAATAATTTATACCAATAAATACGTCAGGAAATGTGAATAGAACCACACACAAATTCTAGTAGGGGAAGAGAGAAAGATCCAACTTTAGGAGGTAATGATAGCCAGGGTTTCAGGAGGAGATCCTTAGGGAAGGGAGGATGTCTGTCGGGAGGAGAATGTGTGACATGTTTCCTGAAGGGGCAGGCAGGGGAGCACATTCTGTGAGGGAATGTTGTGTATAAAGCCAGGCCCTGGCATGGGGTGGGGATGTCGGGGCACAGCGCTGGGCATTGCACATCTGAACGGAGGGGCTGGAGGAGGAGGTGGCAGCTGGAGGGGGCACCATCAGGCAAAGGGGACTAAAGCTTGCAGGGATTTGAGAGAGAACTGAATTGGTTGAAGCTGCCCAGAGAGCTTGTCCCTTTCCTGAAGCTCAGAGCTAGTGCCAACCCAGATTAGGCTGCCTAGACCCCAAGTGAATAAGATCCCTGTCTTGCAAGGAATCATATTTCTGAAGCACCATATTTTTTCCTGAGCATCTTTTATGGCTCCCAGCTCCCAGAAGCTGTGGTCCTCAGTTCTTAACTCGGCAGTTCTGTTCCCTAGGCTCAGGTCACAGTACACATCAAAGCTTTGCCTTCTGCTCTCACTCATTCACATTCTCTGATGCAGGTGCTCCAGCCTTTACTGGCTTCCCGGGTATGCGGAGCCTTCCTCCTGGGGAACCACTGCTTGACCCACCCTTTGCCCCTAACCCTCATCCCATGTCTATTTCCATCTGTCTTTCTGAATTCTACTCATTCTTTGAGATCTAACTCAAGGCCTGTCTCCTCTAGAAAGCCTACTCTGGCTTCCCTAGTTCAGAGTGGCCTCTACCTTCCTTGAATTCCCATAGAATTTGTTGTCCATGTAGCACCCTACTCTTGGGTTGTTCATTGTACTGCTGTGGGGAAGAAGTTACTGGGCTGGTAAGATCTGGCTTCAGAGCCCATGTGACTTTCAGTATGTTAGTAAACCTTTTTGTGCTATGATTCCTTTTTTGTAAAATAAGTGTAAATGGTGATTGTGTCATAAATCTGTTGTGAGGGTTAAGACAACCTAGTACGTGAGATATGGCTGTTCAGTACTTGGTGACCAATAAATGTTTGTAGAATAAATGTGTGCTTTTCTCCTCCCATCAGTGCCTCCCAAGTAAGGGGTTTCAGTGTATAAGGGGTCAGGCACTTCTTTGCATGCCATAGGGACCCGAAAGCCCAAACTGGGCCCAAAGGAGATGGGAGAGAGATCACTAGCTGACTTCCTTTAGTGTGCAGGCCAACAGGGCCCCACAATTTCCAGCCTACTGTCCCTGCTTTCCCTGACTCCAGCACAGGCACAGGCACAGCACAGGTTCTAGGCTCACTGCAGAGTGCTGAAAAGCTGAAGATTACAGCCAGGGATAATTACTAAGCTCCGTGGTGCTTTTGGTCCCGAAGAATCTATCTACTGTCTTTCTCAGAGTTTCAAATAGTTTCTCAAGGATGCCCCTACCCCCAGGGATTTGTTCCCCTCTTTTATTGGTCACAAACAGCCCTACTTTCCTAATGAGCTGCTAAGGAACTGTCAATTATGCATGCAAATAGAGAGGCCGGAAATTATTACTAGCCCAGAAATGAACGGAAGGAGGCAGCTTCCCTTAAACCTTCTGGGCTGGCCCCTGCCCTTTCCTGAGAAAGCTGGGCCAGGGGCAGGGCAGGAAGGCTGGCCTGCCTGTCCCCACAGCTAACAGCATTCAGGCTTTCTTCTTCCCACGCAGCCCTGTATATTCCGAAGGTTGCCCCCAAGAAACAGGTCAAAACTGGAGGGGATTGTCCATATATATACATACTTTATTGTTTCTATGATATATTTCACAATTTCTCACACACACAAAGAAAAATGAATTAGCAGCTATTGAACATATGTGGTAGGCATAATTTCTTTTTCTAAAAAATAATTCTTCTTATTAACCTTTCTTTTACTTTATATGACTATATATTTGTGTCTCTCCAAAAATCAAGGGCAGTTGTTGCTCAATAAACCTTCACTTCATTCAATTGGGAAAAGAAAGAATATAACAGCCCACTGGGCTGGGCCAAGCAGAGCCAGGAGGTAGGCCTGGGATAGCTCATCTTCCCGTCCCACACCTCCCAGCACTTTCTCTCCTCAACCAAGCCCCCTTTCCTGCTTCCCAGGGACCACCTGTTTTTCACATTCTAAAACATGCAAAGTGTTTCAGTAAAATATTTGACCAGGACACCCTGTGAAGTAAAGGTTAGGAGTGTGGGTTTTCAGTATCAGACTGCTTGGCTTTAAATACTATCTCCCCCTCCTATTTGATAAAGTAGCTCTACCTCTCCATGTGGCAGTTTCCATATTTGTAATAGGCAGATGTAGGGGAAAGAAAGAACTTTTCTTTCTATTTCAGGTTCATGGCTGAGGCTCCTATAACAAAAGACAGATTAATACATGAAAGGCATACAAATTTGTTTAATATAAGTTTTACATGACATAGGAGCCTTCAGAAATGAAGACTAAAAGAAATAAAGAAACCTGTGTATTTTTATGCTAAGTTTGATGAAGAAGTAGGTCGTTGTGGAGAAGTAGGACTGGACAAAGGTGGTGTGAGCTGAGGGTAATAAATTGGAACTTAGCAAGGCTTGTGGTGTTCAAATTCTTCTGCATGTTCTTTGCATTTTAATGGTCTCTGTGTCATCAGAGTTAAGGATCTTCCTTTTCTTTGGGTGTAGAGCGGACACCTCTCACATGAGGGTTTTATGGCCTACTTCAGGGGAAGGTCAGGAAATTATTTCTAGGTTTTTATGGCCTGCTTCAAGGAAGAAAGGCAGTGGTAGGGGAAGCAGGTGTTTGACAGTGATATTCCTGCTTCTGCTGTTTTCTGAAATGCCAAGGTGCTATATTTTGAGGTAGTGTGTCTTGAGTCCCATCATAGACAATTGTAGCCCTACTTGGAGCTAATGGTACCTAGCACATAGTAAGCTCTCAATCAATGCCACAATGATTCAGTCACCTCTGATGGCAATCACAGCAACAGAACTTCACAATGAGCAAAGGCGCTCTCTTAACCCTCACAAAGACCCTGTGAGGGGAGATCTGTTGTTCCCATTTTTCCAGTGAAGAAACTGAGGCTCAAAGAAATTAGCCTGAGGCCACCAGGTAAAAGTCAAACTATCATTATTTGAGTCTAGAAATCCTGTTCTTTGCGTTAGAGGTGCTGACTACTAAACATTATTGTGTTGGCTCTGCCAAGGGATTTGGATTTTAATGGTGGCCAGAGGTCCTACGTTAATGGACAAAACTATGGATACCTAATCATAGAATCTTAAAATGTCACCTATGGGGATAGGTGAAAATGGGCAATGGCAGGTATTAAGTTGGAGAAGAGGAAATAATTTTGTTTTCTTTTATGAATAGCAGGGAGGAAAAGAGACAATTTTCCCTGCTTTTGCAATCATGATACACAGGCATAAACTCTTTTTGTTCTAAACTGATCCACAAAGGAAGAAATCTCAATCAGGAAAAAGGAGGGCTGAGGAGGTGGGACTTCAGGCCTGCAGGGTTCTAGTAAACCATTGCTCTTGGGTCTTTGGAATTTGGAGAAGCTTTAGGTAGTCTGCAGGTCTAGGGAGGAGCCTGAGAGGTGATTCTAAGCTGGAACCAACATCTACAGAAGAAGCCTTAAGGATCTGCCAGAAAGCTGAAGGCTGAAGGATGAGTCAGTCAAAGTCTTCAGCTACAGATACCCATGGCCAAATGCAAGAGGAAATGGGCTAAAGCAA